TATCAGGTAATCTACAGAACATCCAACATTGACGGATATAAAGACACATAATTTATCATACGCGCTTCTTGAAATAGAATCACGAAGTATGGCGATTGTCAATTAACGAAGATAGCTGCGTGTTCTGGTACTTTTAAGGTTATTCTAAACAAAATCAGATTCCGTAGTTTAACCAGCACTTTTTGTAGGGAGCCTAAAGTGAAGACTATCATCTGGCAGCTGTGGTTGCATGATTTTGTGTAAGAGTTTTGTGTTTTGTGAAAGTCCATCCATCCAGTAGCTACAACTGACCATATTTTTCCATGTTTAGTCATGTCTTGAACACAGTGGCTTATGCTGAATGTGTGTAGAGATATTGATATTGATGTGGATATGTGTTTACACCCATTCTAACCCAGGGATAATTTAATCCAATATTTAACAGCTCTGCAACTACTTAAAACAAAGATATTGGTACGGACAATTTCACCTAATATTGCCTTATTCGATGCAAATTTCCCAACACAGGAAACGTTTGAAATAGGATGTTTGCATCTTTTCAGTACAGTCATGATATTTAAGGCCCCATATTTCTGATGTATACACCACAATAGGTGCAATTATAACAGCGAAGATATTTCATGCTGACGAAAAAGAGAAGAACTTGTTGTTATAGAACAGTCTGTATCAGCCTGGATGTGAACATGATACCTAAATATTTATAATAAAATGCAATTATCAATTTTGCACTACCAAATGTCCATTGTAAATTTTTTGCAACTATTCCCCCATTTCTGAATACGACTATATCTGTCCTGACCAAATTTAATTGGAGTCCCATTTTAAACAAAATGAATGCAGGACATTTAATTGCCTATGCTTATTTACAGCAGTAAAAGAGAATGGGACAACATCATCCGCAAATAGAAGCAGCATAATATCAATTACATCCTGGGATACAAATATACCATGGGCACATTTGTCATACAATTCGTGTACTATCTCATTTATAAAGCAAATGAAAGGAATAGGGCTGAGGATACAGCCTTGACGAACACCACTGGAGGTAGTGAATGCCTGTGTTGGACAAGTTCCAATCTTAACAGAAGCTTTAACAAATGTATATACATATTTTCCAAAATCCGGAACATTTTGCCATGGCAACCCTTACTTAATAACTGATACAATAACCTTTTCCTGTCTACTTAATCAAATGCTTTTTCTTAAAATCCACAAAAAGCACAGTAAAAACGACCTTTCGGTTTAGACAAATATTAGACATAAAGCCTGCAAAATACGAATGTTATCAACTGTAGCATGATTCGGTCGCAATCCAGCTTGTGCTTCTGATAGTAAATCACATATCTATTCATATCCTTAAACGCCGTTTTATTATATATGTAAACAGTTTTCCAATACTGTCCAGTAGTGAAATGCCTCTGTAGTTTGATGGGTTGCTTCTTGATCCAGTCTTATATAAGGGAAGGATAACAGCCTGATACCATGCTTCACGGAATACACCAGTCTCAAATATTTTCTTAAAAAGTAGGATTAAATATGGAGTAAGGATTTCTGATGAAATCTTGTAAAATTCTGCTGGTATGCCGTCTTCTCCAGGGGACTTTCCTTTCTTAAAAGGTCACATGCAACGTAAAACACAACTTTGCAGATTCTGATACCTTTCGGTATGGACATACCGAAACAAATCGTCAAAAATGCAAATTCAACTTATAAAGTTGAAAGATAACGCGATGAAAAAAAACGCGCGAAATCGGAGTTCAAACGTTTCACTAATTTTCCCCAGACTTTTCTGGGGAAAACGGGTTTCAACAGCTGGGCTGCGCTCATAGCACGTGCGCAAGTAAATAGGTTCGCGCAGCTTGGAAGCGGGTTGTCGGGTGAATACTCGGTGAAGGCTTTGGTGTGAGCTACTTTTCTAATGTTTTGTTGATATCTCACAGGCGCGAGCTTTTTATATGTTATGACAGTAAATTAACTGTTTATATAATTTCATTTGTCTATTTCACCACACGTTCTTCTTACCGAGTCACTTTCTCAGTTCGATACTAAAAGCAATGTCATTATTTAGCGTTGACAGAATTTCTAACTGTGATATAGATATGTCGCTGTCACAGACAAAACTCAATGTCTTGTTTTATTGACACCTGTGTGTCTGCCTGCCTGTCTGCTAATGACAATATTCAATACACAGCTGCTATCACTGACCACATGCAATTTGAACTTAACACCAATCAGGCTATACACCATAAACAAAATGCATTGATTTATGGCCCGAGTTCGGTCTCTGTCACATTATGTAATTACACAGACAGGCAGGTGTGATACTTGAACACATGACATGTTATGATGTCTGTTGATTGCAAAATGTTATACACAAAAAATGAGCATGTATTTACAAAACCCAACATCTCTCTATATATATACACACAACGAGCCGTGAAGGCATCTGCAAATGAACCAGCCGTTACACTTGAGTGCACACCCACCCGCTCTGACTGGGTTCGGTATCACGGCTGCTTCGTTTCTTGGGAAGTAAACCGAAGTACACAATTTTGCACTTTCGATTTGCGATTGTACGCTTATAATTTTGTTTATATATTTTTTCGTAACCAGCAAGGTATATTATATGTCATGAATAAGTGATAATTGTGTTTTAATTATGTTTGATTTTTTGGTTGCATGTGACCTGATTTTAATTTTCTTCCTTTATTTCTTCCTCAGTGATTTTTTTACAGAGCAGATCATTCGTTTAGGTAGCAGAAGTACAATTATCACAGGAATGGCTTTGTGTAAACTGTTTGACTGTATGATCAAATTGTGTTTCCTCTCATTCCAACACAGGGTTTAGCAGTTCTTTAAAATATGAAACCATTCTTCAGGTGTAGCATCACCTTGATTGCTCCTTGGGTTCAATGCTTTTTAACAGTACCCCAAAAAGATTTACAGTCACCATATTTAGCCTCAAGCTTTATCTTGTCACTTAGACACACATTATATATACAGTTTTCTTCTGGTCACAACACTTCTTCAATTTCGATTTGGCAGATATATACTGTTGAAGATTAAAATCAGTCTTGTACTTTCTAAACAGGGTTATCATTTTATATTTTCCCTTCATTCATCTCGTAAAGTCAAACCATGTTGGTTGTTCAATGACGTGGTGCGCTAGTTAAATCAGTTACATTACAATAACAGAACAGAATAACATCTGAATAATTTCTTACATTTAAGCCATATTTACATATTCCCCCAACAGGGTTATAAAATGAGTTAACATTTGTTGCACTGTTGCATTTTTCAAAGACATCAGATAGTCATTTACTTCTGTTTCTAGTAAATTACATTTGGGTATTTTCGTTAAAGTGATCTGAGAATCGCAGGGGAGATAATCAACAAAATCATCAATCAGATAATCAAGCTCATTACCAGTACTTGAGTTAAAACCCACACCAAGGATAAACTTGGTTTGTTCGCCACAGTCAAATGTGATTTGCAATAAACGTCTCTCTAATGCATCAATTCCATTAAAATTTTACTTCCCTGTTCATATATATCGGTGATCCTTCAGGTTGGATGTACAGAAATCCACCAATAACGGGATCTGTAAATGTGCTTTTGGTTAAGCCTGAAGAACAGGCAGTTGTCCCATTGTGAATATATATTCTCAAACAATGTTGTAAACTGATGTTTTATGCATACACACATTCCCCCAGAATACCTACAACGCAGTGATAATCGCTTAGCACCACACACAGGTATATCGTAACAGGTAAATATGTTACCCAAAACAGATTGAGAATCAGAACACATGGTCTCTACCATGCAGAAAATATCAAGGTATTACTAGCAGTAATGGCTCTAATTACATATTTCTCTTTTCAAGAGCTATTCCGTAGCAAATATGCTGGAATAAACATCCTCATTGAGTTTTGATCACAAGGTGACTGTCTTCATAAATAAAATAGTTTTACATGTTCATGCTAGTTTTAGAATCCATCTGTGATACTCTAGTTATTTTACAGTCCTTCGATGACTGATTATTTAGCAACTTTAATTTATTGTTTATATAAAACATTTCTCGTCACTATATGGCTGAAATATTGCCGATGTGACGTTAAATATTAACTCACTCACACAAGGTGACTTGGAGGAAGTGACGGCATTCCAGTGATAGATGTGAGTCTAAACTTCTCCAATTAGGTCGCTAGTTCTTTAAATAGGACTCGTTGTTTTTCCTACAGGTCGTGTTTTAATGTCCGTCTCAGGAAAGTGGCCGCAGTAGTTGATACGCAAACGAAAACAGGAAACAATTTAACGAACAATTTAGTTTCTTGAATAATTTGTAGTTGTATTAGTCTTTTTGGGATGACAAGTATTTTAACCTTAATCCCAGCTCTTGTGTCTTCAAGGAGTCTCCAAATAAAAATAAACAATGAGAGCGAGTGAGTAATGTTTTACGCCGCCCGTATCAATATTGGAAAGAAATATCACGACTGGGTACACCAGAAATGGGCTTCACACATTGTACACGTGTTAATTATATGTTACATGTTTAGAGAAAGATGTAACGTAAACACAATCGCCTGCGCAAGTTATATTGTTTTTTAGATATACATGTATCGTTATTATCCTTGTTTAACTAATATTATATCCTCCTGTGCCAACAGGAAATTTGTGTAAAGAGCAGACTTGCTTGTACGGTGAACTGTCTTTCTGAATCACTACCAAATAGTGATGACGATAGGTATTACAGAAACGCCACCACTCAAAAGCTGAAATTACGTATTCTGTGAATATATACGACCTCACACAGTCGGCTTGACAAGAATAACAGTTTTTAAAAAGATGATATGGTAGCTGCTGACGACGAAACACTTCTGTGTTGATATATAGTCTTCAGAGGGACAACCCATTTACATATGAGTTCACTGATAGCGGAAGCAAGTAGTGGAGGGATGACGGAACTGCCAAGGCGTTTTCATATGCAGCACGTGGTCTGCCAGTTTAGCTGTTATACACAATAACAGATGTCCTGACCTGTGACAGTCACTTATATCCTGTTCGGTCTAGCAGGAACTGGTGCTCTGACTGCAGCTGACAGTTGCCTGCTTGCATATCTACGGGCAGCACACCTGTCAAGCAAGTCCAGCAGCACACCCGTGAAGCAAGCCCGGTAGCACACCCGTCAAGCAGCAAGGTAGGATGGGTTAACACTTGTGATCTTAACGAACTGGGGAACATCAGGTTTTTGTCGTGGTATGGAAACCATTGTAATATTAATTGAGATCCAATACCGAACTCATGGCTTGCTATATGGAGGAGAGAGGAAGTAAATTGTAAATCGCCACGTCCACTTATCAGTTCCCTGTTGATAAATAGGAGTTTGTTACGACGTGTTCCCTTCATAACACCAGCGTACATCACTGGCAAAGTTATATACGCAGTTCATTGTCTTTCCGGTACGTCTGTAGGATATGCCTGCTCGTTTTCCCAGTATTAATTACAATCTATTTCCCATCAATACCCAATAAACTGTTTATCTATTAAGCATCCTTAATCAATTTATGTAGTTTTATTGCATAAAATCACAAACGTTATGACCCTTCTATATTTTTTTCACAAAACATTTTGTACCTATCAGTATACACGGAAGTCATGTTTGTAGCCTGGTGCGGGACATGGTTGAAAACGATTTTTCAGTTTGTTTTACATGTCTTATCTAAAGGCTGGTGGGGTTTTCACACTGGCACTTGAGAATACATTACAAGTACATTTCCTTCATGTGTTTACGTGTTGTTTGTAGCACCATGTGTTCTTTGGCATGTCTTGCACTTGAGTAGATAACTCGAGATATACATATGTGTTTTAGGGTTAATATATATGTGCAAAAGATCTATCATTATTCTATTTTGCACATGCTGTATTGATAATTTGATTCTACGAAAATACATTTTTTATTGAAAACTGAATTGAAATCACATTTTTCACCACTGCCAACAAACTTTTGATTTGGGACGTATTGCTCAACAAATATTAATTGGGGTAATGTTCCCACCCCCACATAGACATCAAATAGATGGTCACTCACTGAATTGCTGTTCAGAGTAGCGTGAAGCCCATTTCTAGTGTCTTCCGGAATATTGCTAAAAGCGGCTTAAAACCAAACTCACTCACTCACTTGAAATCTCTGGCTTTACCACGATATTTTGAAACAATGAGTACTCGGAAACATGTTAGAAGTGAGTGAGTGAGTTTGGTTTTAAGCCGCTTTTAGCAATATTCCGGAAGACACTAGAAATGGGTTTCACACATTGTACCCATGTGGGGAATCGAACCCTGGCCTTCGGCGTGAAGAGCGAACGCTTTTACCACTAGGCATACCTATCGCCCCAAACATGTTAAAAACTTTCCGTAATATGCAACGTATTCGTGTTATTTTGATCTAATCGCAAAGGAAAGAAGCCGAGCCAGGATATTGAATTGATCACATATGTACTGAACTGAGGCCATACGGAAGTAATCCTGACACATTGTTACAATATCCTGCTCAAACATACCTCGTGAGTTAACGCGTGTTTATGCCGGTGTTTTAGTCACGTGATGCGGGAGAGTACCATCGAGAGTTATTGTAAACATGCATTAGATACTCACTGGGATAACCACAAATCAGGCCTTTAAGCTATGTCAACTTGGATAAGTGTCTTGGGCTTCAGCGTTATTCTCGGGATTAAAGGGGATGGGCTGCCAACAGAGTAACTACTACTGAACTAATCCATCCCTCATTCTTTCACCCTGCAATCTAAGTAAAAGTTTTCGGGTATCTTGTTATATCGGGGAACTATCTTCATGGCACGAACATCCAAGTCACATTCAGTCTGCACCAAAACCTCCCTATCAAATGTTGAATAAGTTGATATCATAATATGTTTTGTGATGAATGTTATATATGGAACTATCATTTTCAGCTGAGAGCTCCTTCGCAAACGCTGAACAAAATGCCTGTTCGGGGAGTTGCCATCGTCCTATTTCTTGCCTTGATCAACACGTGAGTGTGCTTTTTGGGTTGTTTTAAAACAAAATGGTAGTTTCGGATGATGAGATAGTGTCATCTGTCAGTGAGTGAGTGAGTGAGTGAGTGAGTGAGTGAGGTTTTAACGCCACCACGAACACTATTTCGGTTTCATCACGGCATGTAAGCTCAATGTTCAGGAAAACCCATTTACCACTTTGGTGACACTCACGATCAGGGTTATGGTCCTGACACAACAGGATTCGAACCTATGATCATTGTTGCCTGACATGCCTTGGGAAGGGAACTAACCTCTCTGCTTCTTTAAGCCATTTGATGTAAACCGGTCCATGTATACAGCCACAAGCACATGTAGTCATCCATCACTAACTGTTCATAGGATGTCTGAGACTTGTATCAAAACGAGGCTGGCGCCGAATGGTTACATGGAAGTTATATGAAATACAAATAGGTATAATAGTAGGCTGTTTTCATCTGAATATTTTACCATACAACCTTTCGTAACGCATTTCCTTTTACAAGGTCAAGGACAAAGCAGTTTTAATTAAAGTTGCAAGGAATATATTATGTTTGCACAAATTATTGTGCACGTGTGTTAATGAAAATTAAACAAATTAAACAATTGTATGTATAGATTTCTAGGTGTGTCAGTACCAAACATGTCTTCGTGAGTGTTACTAAATTAATACCAATTGAACAGTTGCGACTACGTTTATAGAAGTCCATGCAAAGATGTGGTATATATGTATCCTGGTCCACGTACTTACTCATACTCGGATGTATAAGTTGACATTTCCTCAGGTCAAAGCGATTTCCTTGTGCATTGTATAGTAACTAAACATGATACATTGCTATCGCTTGAACTATCGCATGGCTACAATATATGCTGTGCAAACAGAGTAGGGGATATTTTGTTTTTATGTGAGAATAATTGGACATACACCAATGTCTGGTAATGAAAAAGTACGTAGATGTTGTATGTGGCCAAAACATATCTAATCAAAACAAGCTGGGACAGCTCCTACAGTTGGTGGAATGCCGCATTCACCAGTATCACTTTCACTCAGTAATTGGTTTTTGAATTTGACAATTTGTTTCCTTCAGACGAAACACTCAAGATCCTTTTATCAGGAAGGTGAATGAGTACGTTTTTACGCCGTTTTTAGCAATATTCCAGCAATAGTACGGCGGGAGACACCAGAAATGGGCTTCACACATTTTACCCGTGTGGGGAATCGAACCTGGGTCTTCAGGGTGACGGGCGAACGCTTTAACCACTCGGCTACCCCACTGGCCCTTATACTGAATGAAGCAACAGCATTGATCAACGTTTGCAACGTACTGGACGTATACGTTCGATATACATGTTGCAGGTGGGCGCACTTGAGAATACTGTTGCCCAAACTCTGCGTGTTTCTCAGTCTGGCATCAGCACATTGTGGTCGGTGCTCAACTAACACATGATACTGCATAATGATATATCTAGCCTAGTACAGATTAGACAGAACGATGGCTTTAAGATCTCGGTACAAGCTGCCACTCAGATAGAGGAGCGGCTGCAATAGGCAGCGGGGGTACGTTTGAAGTTTGTGGACAGATGCACAGGGGCTTGTAAGGCTAAAAACTGTCATCAAGGATATATACTGTCACTAACGGGGTCTTGTGGCAGGTGATTTTAATGTTGACCATTTCAGTAATTATAAACAGCGGTTAGAGTGCTTACAATCAAGCTATGGACATATCTGAACCTACTCGGATAACAGTACACTCGCGCACACTGATAGATGAATTTTTGTTACTAATCATGATAATGTTTGTTATTCGGGTGTACTTGACCCTGTTTGTAGTGACCATTGTCCTGTGTTTGTTAGCCTTAAAGGATCCAAACCTTTTGACACAAGTTTCACAAGGGAGATATACAATTATTCACTACTTAACATAGACCATTTAAATTCATATTTAAACTGTACTTACTGACTGTACATACTATAACTGGGAAGCTCTACTTAACATTACTGATACTGATTTATTAGTTATGAGATTTAGTAAATGTATCTTAGATGTTATGGACAAATTTATTCCAAATAAAACTAAAACGGTTAGAAGTAAAGATAAGCCATGGATGAATGCCGAAATACGTAGTTTGATACGCCAGCGAAATCGTAAACACAAGCTTGCAAAACGACGTAATCTTCAATCAGATTGGGAAGCTTTTAGAAAATTATGGAATTGTGTTGTATCAACAGTCAGAAAGGCAAAGGCAAATCATTGTTTTTGAAATTAGACGGCATTATCAATGATCACTGTGATAATAAGACTTGGTGGCACTTAATAAAAACTTATTTGAATAAAAAACCTAAAATGACAAGTTTTTCACCGATCTCGCATCAAAATATAATTTATGATGATCCAATAACTATAGTAAACGTATTAAATGATTTTTTCATCGCCAAGGCCTCTGTTGAAGACCCGGAACGCTCTCCCCCCATTCCTAATATGATAAATGAAAAAACTGTTTATCCTCTATAGAATTAAACCTAGCAGATGTTAGAGATATTCTCCTTTCTCTCAACAATAGAAAGGCAATCGGACCTCATGGTATAGGGAATAGATTTCTGAAACTAAAGGCAAATAATTTGTCATATCCCCTCACGAAGATTTTCAACCAATCCTTTCAGACCTTTACCTTCCCTGAAATTTGGAAATATGCATAAGTAATTCCCATCCACAAGAAAGGTAATATTGATGACTGTAGTAACTGTAGACCTGTAGCACTGACAGGTTGTGTACCAAAAGTATTTGAACAATGTGTACATAAATATGTTTATAATTTCTTCAAAGACAACGATATAATAAGTGAGATGCAATCTGCTTTCATGCCTTGAGATTCGACTTGCTATCAGTTAACAGATTTATATGATTGTATTTCTAGTTCGCTTGATAAGGGTAAGGAGGTAAGGGCTGTATTCTGCGATACCAACAAAGCCTTTGATAAGGTATGGCATGAAGGACTTTTGAATAAATTACGTTCTGTTGGTATAGGTGGTAGGCTACTAAAATGGTTCGATAGTTATCTTCATAACAGAGTACAGAAAGTTATAAATGGATTTAATACAGAATATAAGCCTGTACTAGCAGGTGTCCCCCAGGGATCAGTGTTAGGACCACTGTTGTTTCTGATATACATTAATGATCTTGTAGACAGTATGGTATAGACTGTAATATTAGACTATTTGCTGATGATACGTCACTTTATGTTCTTAAACGACGATTTAGAAAGAATATCACAATGGGCTAAAAATTGGCAAGTTAAGTTTAATCCCGAAAAACCCCAAGAAAGTATACTTTTTAGCAAGAAACGTTTACCATGTTTAAAACCCCAGTTATCAGTGCAAGGTATCCCCATTAAAGAGGTAAACAAGCATAAACATTTAGGACTCGTCCTTCAATCATATTGAAATTGGACCTCACAAATAAATAGCATTATAGATAGGGTTTCACCGATGACAAACTGATTGAGAAGTTGTAAATATCGTTTATCAAGAAACACTCTTAAAATGATGTATAAATCTTTCATATTACCCTTGTTTGATTACTGCAGCCACATATAGGACAATTGTACAACGAATCATAAAAACAAGTTAGAAAAATTATAACTTGATGATTTGAGAACTATATGTGGGGCAACACGTGGTACAAGCCATAATAAACTGATCTCCGACCTCTAGCTGAAAAAAGACGTATACAAAAGTTAAACATTTTCATAAAATGATACATAATAAAGCACCTAGCTATTTATGTAATATGGTTCCAAAACCCGTATCTGCGAATATTTCCTATGATTTGAGAAATTCAACAAATTTACAAAACGTCCCTTCAAGAACAACCTTCTACAGAAACTTTTTACCAAGCACTGTAGAACTTTGGAACCTTTTACCAGATGATATTTAACAAATACAATCTCCTAAATCTTTCACAAATAAAATCTCACACAACCCAGGTATTAAATTTGCCTATTATCCAAATTTTGGAAGCAGATTCTGTCAAATTATGCACTGTAGACTTCGATTAGGATGTAGTGATCTTAACTCGCACAAAGTTAATCGTTTTATATCTAATGACCCATCTTGTTCTTGTGGTGCATTTTGTGAAGATAATTTACATTATTTCTTTCTGTGTCCAAATTGTGACAATTTAAGAAATGATATGCATTTATATAGAAATGGATACAATCTCAAATCGGTCCTATATGGAAATATTCAAGCATCAGAAATTGAAAATTTGCAAATTGTTAAATCTGTTCTTTGTTTTATCGAAAAATCTTCTCTATTTAAGTTTTAAGAAGTAATGTACTGAAACACAATGTAATACACTGTAAACGTACTGTAAATTATGTATTTCATTCATCAAATTTAACGTCACTTAATCATTTACCGTTGAAATGTCATACCTGTGTACAAAACCAATGCGGCTGTATTGGAGCGGCATTAAGATGAGCCTTTGCTTGTTTGCCAATCCTTTTCATTACTGATAATGAATAAAATTTGTTTAAATCATATCATTACTTGACTACTAGGCCAACGCGACCCAATGGTATCTGTAGACAAGATGCATGTTTACATATCAGTACTAGACGACTAGGTCAAAGTGACCCAATGGTATCTGTATACAAGGTACATGCTTACATATCATTACTAGACTACCAGGTCAATGTGACCCAGTGGTATCTGTATACAAGGTACATGTTTACATATCATTACTAGACTACTAGGTCAAAGTGACCCAATGGTATCTGTATACAAGGTACATGCTTACATATCATTACTAGACTATCAGGTCAATGTGTACCAGTGGTATCTGTATACAAGGTACATGTTTACATATCATTACTAGACTACCAGGTCAATGTGACCCAGTGGTATCTGTATACAAGGTACATGCTTACATATCATTACTAGACTACCAGGTCAATGTGTACCAGAGGTATCTGTATACAAGGTACATGCTTACATATCATTACTAGACTACCAGGTCAATGTGTACCAGAGGTATCTGTATACAAGGTACATGTTTACATATCATTACTAGACTACCAGGTCAATGTGACCCAGTGGTATCTGTATACAAGGTACATGTTTACATATCATTACTAGACTACCAGGTCAATGTGACCCAGTGGTATCTGTATACAAGGTACATGCTTACATATCATTACTAGACTACCAGGTCAATGTGTACCAGAGGTATCTGTATACAAGGTACATGCTTACATATCATTACTAGACTACCAGGTCAATGTGACCCAGTGGTATCTGTATACAAGGTACATGTTTACATATCATTACTAGACGACTAGGTCAATGTGACCCAGAGGTATCTGTATACAAGGTACATGTTTACATATCATTACTAGACTACCAGGTCAATGTGACCCAGTGGTATCTGTATACAAGGTACATGTTTACATATCATTACTAGACTACAAGGTCAATGTGTACCAGTGGTATCTGTATACAAGGTACATGTTTACACATCATTACTAGACTACAAATCAGGTCAATGTGTGACCCAGTGGTATCTGTATACAAGGTACATGTTTACATATCATTACTAGACTACCAGGTCAATGTGACCCAGTGGTATCTGTATACAAGGTACATGTTTACATATCATTACTAGACGACTAGGTCAATGTGACCCAGTGGTATCTGTATACAAGGTACATGTTTACATATCATTACTAGACGACTAGGTCAATGTGACCCAGTGGTATCTGTATACAAGGTACAGCACGTTATCTGAGCTCACAGTTTTGCTTGATTTAAGGAATTTACAACGGCTTCTAGTCTTTGGAAACCGGACAGTTGATGAATAAGGCTACCAAGAACACATTTTTGCATTTGAAGAAGAAAATAGTTGTCGAACAATGCTGATTTTGACCGTAATAATATTGGAACTTTGCATAGTTTCTAACATCAAGACAGTGACACTCTATTGTTCACCAATCAGTGAGCCAAGCCGGCTCTCCAGCTGCTTGACAATGGACGTAAGCCAGCTAACCTACAGTAGAGACCAGCTTCTGTGTATTCACAAGCTCCAATCAAAAAGACAATGGCTTGACCCTGAGTTATTTCATCACATCAGAGAATTGGGCATAAGTAATACAAAGCCTGTGAGGAGAGGGAAACGAGGTGGCTGTAAAAAGCAAAGACCAATCAAGATTCAGACTGGAGTGTGTGGTACCAACCCAATGGAACAATGCAAATCTCAATGCAATGTTGAGAATCTGATCTTTGTCTCAACTGAGACAAAAACTAACAATGTTAAAGTGTGCTTATGGAATGCCCAATCAGTCAAAAACAAGACAATTGAAATTAGTGACTACATTCTTGATTGTGATATTGACATTCTATTTCTTACGGAAACATGGTTGTCAGTGAGTGGGGATGAAGCTAAATGTTCTGAAATGACACCAAGTGGGTACAAAATGCATCAGGTACCAAGAATGAACAGAAGAGGCGGAGGGGTAGCATGTATATATAAACAGGACTTGCATGTTGGACTCTTTAAACTCTCAGGTGACTTTTCTACATTTGAACACATGTCAGTTGTAATTACTTGCGGGAAAAAAACTATAAAAGCAGTTTGCATTTACAGACCTCCACCCTCTAAGAGCAATAACCTATCCAATTCGTCTTTTTCATCAGAAATTGCCACATTGTGTTCAACTCTTGATGTCAAACGAGGATCCTGTCTCATAATTGGAGATTTCAATGTCCATCATAACTCAATGGATAATCCGCTGACCAAACGCATTTCAAGGACACTTGCAACGCATGATCTGAAACAGTATGTTGCGGAGGCTACACATCGATTAGGTCATGTTATTGACTGGGTAATTGCAAAAGATGACGGTTTGATCCACGGAATACAAGTGGAAGACAGGCAGATGTCTGATCATTTCACGGTGATGTTCTATCTAAATTTTGATAGACCAGTACCTGAAAAGAAAACAGTTCTGGTTCGTAACATCAAAAAGATTGACATTCAGAAACTCAAAGAAGATCTTCTAGAATCTGCTCTTTTTAAAGAAATTACGGAAGACGTGGATGAGCTACTCGACATGTTCAATTCCTCACTATCTGAGGTTTTAGATAGACATGCTCCAGTCAAGCTTAAACAGGTCCGACCTCAAGATTCTTCTCCCTGGTACACGTCTGTTGTGCTACTGGCCAAGAGAGGTAGACGCATTGCTGAGCGTCGTTGGAGAAAATCACGTTTGGAAATTCACCGTCAAATATACAAACTTGCTCGAAATGACGTCAACAAATGCATACGGAAAGCCAGATCTGATTACTTCAATGCAGAAATCACATCTAATGCTGATAATCCTAAACGCCTGTTTTGCACCCTCAATAAACTCCTTGGGAAGAATTCTGACGTAGTTCTGCCACAGGGAGACGATGTTGCTCTGGCAAATGATTTCCAAAATTACTTCTCTGAAAAAAATCACAAGACTTCGTCATAAGTTGGGTAGTCTCTGCGATGATGTCTCTTATAAAGAGTTCCAAGGACAACGCTTAACATCTTTCACACATGTGTCTGAAAATGACATTATGAAAATCATAACATCATCAAAACCAACATCATGTGAGGCAGATCCACTCTCAACCAAGTTCTTGCTGAAAGTACTAGACACCATTCTGCCTGTTATCACCAGGATTGTCAACCTCAGTCTCTCATCTGGAATAGTGCCCAAGTGCTTTAAACAGGCAGTAATTAAACCTTTGATAAAGAAGCCATCATTGGAACCTGAAAACCTCAGCAGTTACCGACCAGTTTCTAATCTTTCGTTTCTTTCTAAAGTCCTTGAAAAAGTTGTCAAAAGTCAGATGCTTGGGCATTTACAGAACTTCGATCTGATTGATAAGTATCAATCTGCCTACAGGACTGCACATAGCACCGAAACAGCTCTAAATGGTGTTCTGGACAACATCAAGATGTCCGTAGATGACGGAAATATTGCCCTGCTCGTTCTTTTAGACCTCTCAGCTGCCTTTGATACTATCGACCATGCAACATTGTTATCAAGGCTACAGATCGAATATGGACTAAACGGCACAGTCCTAAAATGGTTTTCATCATATCTAGAAGATCGTGTACAGTCTGTTCAAATTAACAGGGCACTGTCAGACAGACATGTCCTTGAATGTGGAGTGCCACAAGGCTCAGTTTTAGGACCAATACTGTACACTATGTACACCAAACCTCTGGGACAACTGATCTCTGATCATTGCATTGGGCGGCACTTTTATGCTGATGACTCCCAATTGGTGGATAGCTTTAAACCAAGTCCAGACAGTCAGCAGAAGGCCAAGGATAACATGGAGTCGTGTCTCAATGATGTCAAGTCATGGATGACAAACAACAAACTGGTCTTAAACGATAGTAAAACAGAAGCCATCATTATTGCCCCACGTCAAAGACAGCAGAAGTGTCAGCTTTCTTCCATTTCCATTGGACAATCCTCAATCCCTTTCTCTCCCTCTGTAAGAAATCTTGGTGTTTATTTGGACTCAAATTTGTCTATGAAAAGTCATATCAACCACCTATGCAAAATATGTCACTTCCATCTCCGAAATATTGGTTCCATACGCAACATCTTAACCATGGAAGCAACGGCCACCCTCGTTCGATCTCTAGTTCTATCACGCTTGGACTACTGTAATAGTTTACTAATTGGTATCTCTGATGAACAATTACAGCGCCTCCAGAAAATACAGAATCAGGCTGCTCGCATCGTCACAAGGACAAAGCTATGTTCTCATATTACGCCAGCTCTCAATTCTCTTCACTGGCTCCGGATCCGCGAGAGGATTGAATTTAAACTGCTCTCCCTTGTTTATCAGTCTGTTTATAGCATTGGTCCAGCATACCTCCATGATTTGATAACACTGTACAAACCTGACAGATCTCTCCGCTCCAGCGATCAACTCTTGCTAGTTGTTCCTGTGTGCAAACTTAAAACCTTTGGTGCAAATTCATTTTCTCATGCTGCTGCCACTCTCTGGAACTCTCTACCATCGGATCTTAAAACCTCTCCATCACTCCGAGTCTTTAAGTCCAAGCTCAAAACTCACCTCTTCAAGAAATATCTATGACGTCAACTTTCCTGTACATAGAACCTGTATATATGTTATGCGCTTAGAGCATGTCCCTGGGTGATGTGGATGAGGCGCTATAAAAGTACTCTTATTATATCATTACTAGACTACCAGGTCAATGTGTACCAGTGGTATCTGTATACAAGGTACATGCTTACATATCATTACTAGACTACTAGGTCAATGTGTACCAGAGGTATCTGTATACAAGGTACATGTTTACACATCATTACTAGACTACCAGGTCAATGTGACCCAGTGGTATCTGTATACAAGGTACGTGCTTGTATCATTACAGGGCCATCAGTTGGGACAGGAAGTGGACGTATTTCGTCTTTGCGCAACAATGGCCACCATCTTTTTGCAATGATCCATCACAAATGAACGTACGTTTGCTGTAATTGTTTATTTTTTGTAAATTGATTTGTGAGTGTATATGGTCCCAAGAGTAACAGCCTATTAACATCTGTTTGATTGGCATTTTAGAAGTTGGTGAGTAATAAGAAAGTAAGATTCTTTATGGATAACAACTTCTTTAGTCTATATGATGCGACGTTTCGGTATGGATTCTTATACCGTTGTCAAGCAAGAGTGAGGTACTTCATCAACAGGGATTAAGTAATAACAACATGGTCTGATATTGCTGATTTTCGGTCTGATTTAGTGGTAGATGATAGGTGTTCTCTGATTCTGATATTTATGGACCGGGAGGTTTCACCTACATAGGCCTCGCCACAGTCACAGTTGACTTTGTAGACAGCACCTTTGGGTTGATGTTGTTTTGGGGTGTTCCTGCCAATAGCTTTCAGTAGGGTTATCAGTGGTGTAGAGCTGGTAAAGTAGGTGTCGATGCCTGCTTGTCGCTTCAGGAGACGCTGATGTGGTGGGAGGTCTTCCCTATGAAGGGGAGAGAGATACGAAATCAGTAATATCAGACCACATCATCAACTGTCCCAATCACAACATCATTTGGGACAATGTAGAGATATTGTCGAAAAAACACCCGGACTTCGCCAAAAGAAATCTTCAAATCCGGAGACACAAGCCCTCAATCAACAGAGACCAGGGATATCTCATCCCATCTGCATACACTGAACTGATAAAAAACAACAGATTAGAGCACCCCAGCTATCATTGCTAATTAAACTTATCAGCCATGTATATTTTGTTTCTGCTTCAAGCACCATTGGCTTCCTCTTATTGTCACTACATTATTACCACCGTGCCTTGTTGTTGTTTTTAATCCCCTTGATTCATACCTACATGCTGTTATTACTTAACCCCTGTTGATGTGTATAAGGCCGTTCTGTGCTGTAGTACTTCACTCTTGCTTGACAACGGTATAAGAATCCATAACGAAACGTCGCAACATATATAATAAAGCAGTTGTTATCCATAAAGAATCTTACTTTCCTATTAGCCTTTTTACATGTGTGATATATGGTAGGTAGTACTGCCGGGACACTGACATTAGGTTATGCTTTCGTCATTCATTGATACCTGCACGGAATTACTTCCGTAGCCAAATACATCAGTATCGTTTTTTATTTCCTGACATTATGGCAGGCCCGCTATCAGAACCTGTGATCAGTAGTCTCCAGGGGAAGTTAATGAGTTAATTCTGAATGAAGCCTTATGCTACAATTCACTATTGTCGGGACAGGTGCGTTACTTGTAAGTGACTTTTGAGAACGTGATTAGTGTAGCGCATTGTGGATGCAAACTATTGCATTGTGTTGTCCTGCAGCAGACAACAGGGGGAATTGCTGTTTTAACTTTAATTACAATCTTATCGTACAAAGTACCGCATATTGTGAATTGATTACTTGACGGTGGATCAGTAACAATTACCGCCAATTGATAGCTGAACCAGCTGGTTGCACTTCCAGACAAGAGGTAGAGTTCATGAATATTTGGTCGAGGTTTATTAGGGGTTTCTCCGAAATACGGTGCACGTGCTCTGCGTATTTGTATCGAGTTGGGACATGATCTACCTCTCCTCAAGTGTCACAATGTATTTTTCAGCACAAGTGCAAAGGCCTTCCCAAACCAGTGAAAACATGGACGGTGCACGGCCTGTGGTAAGTGCTTGAACTTCCCCACCAAACACTGTCACATCACACCAGATATAATTATTTGTTAACCAATACTTATTGCTGAATAATAGTCCAACCAACACAATTTGTGTTTAAACTGATTACAAGTTCACTAAAACGCACAACATGTTCATGTTGACTAAAGGGGAGCTGGGGTGGCCTGGTGGTTGAAGCGTTATGTTGAAGACCCGAGTTCGTTTCTCTATATAATAACATCGGGGTATAGAAGTCTTGGTGGTTAGTCTAGAGGTTAAAGCATTCTCTCGTCACGCCGAAGGTTCGTACCTGTCTTGGGTACAATTTATGAGGTCTATGTGTGGTGTCTCCCACCGTCATGTAGCTTGAATACGCCCAACACGCGTAAAATCCATCTCACACATTCTCTCACAGCGTAAGTTTTCTCGCTCGTTATGGTTTTGGACTACGATGTAGCACTAGCTTAGGGTTGATTCCCCACACGGGTACAAATGTGAAGTCCTTCAGCCGTGTTCCTGGGATATTGCTAGAAGCAGTTTCAAACTCATTTTACGTACTCAGTATGATTTATAATAATATATTTATTAAGGAAACACATATTTATACATGCAGGTATTGGAATACAACTAAAGAAAACGGGAATAGTCCATTCCTCCTTAGGGAAGGTAGCCGTTAACACAGCCCAGACAGACTTCAATAAACCTGTGATGATCATATGACGCAGTCTGAAAGTTTGAAATACAAATGTTTACAACTAGTTTATCGATTGTTATGAAATACATAAAATAAAAAAAATAATAGTTTTCTTTCTCATCCTGTTGTAGGCCAAACCGAGGCGATGTAAGCGTTGAAAACTGCAACGACAGTTGGCATTTTAAATGGGACAAGGTCAAGGTATTGTGTGATAATATTTTTTCCAATGTGCTATTTTTGAACTGCTCCCTGGTCAGATATACCACCGAATGTGACATGTATGAAAGTGAATAAAATAACTTATTTCTATGTGTTTTATAGTTTGCGTCTTCACTATTTCAGTCTCTCCAGAAACAACTTGAGGCAAGCTGGCCCAACCTTCTTGAGGACACACGACCCAAAGGGCTGTGGTTGGTGATACGAGTACTTGTCTTTTTACGTTAAATATGACAATGCTATTTTAGTTACAACGTGAACAGTTTTACATATTTGCAACAACTAAAGAAAACAGAATCTTATTATGATCTTGTGGCCTTTCAGTGTGCAATACAACTAACCCTTACTCCTGTAACACGCCAGTCATGAGTTAATCTGGGAATGTGTTGTCTCAGGATTGGTATCCGGATAAAGGAAGTTGGCTTCACGTTTAACATTGTACTCTGTACGTGTACATATGCTTCTTATAGGTCATTGGTGATACGTCTAACATTGTACTCTGTATGTCAACACATGTTTCTTATAGGGTCACCAGACCATTGGTGATACGTCTATCATTGTATGTCAACACATGCTTGTTATAGGGTCACCGGACAATTGGTGATACATCTAACATTGTATGTCAACACATGCTTGTTTTAAGGTCACCAGACCATTAGTGTGTTTCCGATGCAACGCCCATAGGTTGTATAACTTCCGGGAGCTGAGGTTTTACTAAACTGCACACCGATCAATTGTACAGACACATTACAATGATAAAACGCAGTATTTATTCAGTTACCACAGTGACCGACCTATGGTACTGTGAAACATCTAACTATAGGTACTGACCGACCATCTGTACTCCGGTACGCCCATACAATGTACATGCACCGTATGTATTCACTGCGTTTCAGGGAACATGAATGGACAGCCCACGGTACATGCGCAGCAAGCCTGGAAGCCACGAACAATGAGTTTCGCTACTTTCAAAAGGCTCTGAGTCTCAACAGTGTAACTGCATTGAATCCCGAAAAGTGAGTTGTTTTGCATTAAACACTATTACAAATTGCCCTGTCTCACGATACACTACGTGTAATCTGTGACTTTGTGAACGCTGATCATTCTCTCACTACACCGACCTCTGATATTGTGATGTGAGTAGTCATATATGTTCGATCTAGGCGTCTCCATCTTAACACCCAAACCTGCCCACTAGGAATTTGCCAATAGGTTAGCATATTTCCAACGGTTAACTTTAGCTCACTGACAATAGAAAATTCGAAATAACTGTAAAGGAAATGACTCACGAATGACTGATGAACTGTGTCCTCGTTGAATGTTCTGGGAAGGGTGTTCTGGGATACATGTTGTTTGCCAACCTGGCGGTCGACCAAATGATACAAATACAAGGCCTGATCGACTGTATACTGTATGTGTGAGTTGGATACCGGATAATCAATAGTAAAGTTCGACATGGTATCTCAGTTAGCCCGTGTAGGTATAAGCACACAGACATCCAAAGCAGACAGACAGACAGACAATTCACACTACACCTCACCTCACACATGGTATAAGGTTTTGTATGCATTTTGACAGGGCGCTTGAGAAGGCTGGAATCACGCCATCATGTACGAAAGCATACTCCGTGAGTACATTGTTTACAACAGGGCGATCTACTTCTAAACGTATTCCCACTACATCAAAGCAGGTTTTTAACACGCCCATGACTCCATCTGTGCTGGCCCAGCTCGTATGTCTCAATCCCCGTGCAAGACTACGCTGATTCTCGGCTATGTGTGTCCATATGTTCCCACATGTACACTGCATGTGTGTATGTGTTCATTTGTACATGCATGTTTGTGTTCATTGTACATGCATGTATGTAATTATTTGTACATGCATGTAAGTGTTCATTTGTACATGTGTGTATGTGTTCATTTATACATGTGTGTATGTGTTCATTTGTACATGCGTGTTTGTGTTCATTTGTACATACATATTTGTCTTCATTGTACATGTATGTATGTGTTCATTTGTACATGCATGTTTGTGTTCATTTGTACATGCATGTATGTGTTCATTTGTACATGCATGTGTTCATTTGTACATGCATGTTTGTGTTCTTTTGTACATGCATGTTTGTGTTCATTGTACATGCATGTATGTAATTATTTGTACATGCATGTAAGTGTTCATTTGTACATGTGTGTATGTGTTCATTTATACATGTGTGTATGTGTTCATTTGTACATGCGTGTTTGTGTTCATTTGTACATACATATTTGTCTTCATTGTACATGTATGTATGTGTTCATTTGTACATGCATGTTTGTGTTCATTTGTACATGCATGTATATGTTCATTTGTACATGCATGTTTGTGTTCTTTTGTACATGCATGTTTGTGTTCATTTTTACATGCATGTTTGTGTTCATTTGTACATGTGTGCTTGTGTTCATTTGTACATGCGTGTTTACAAATGTCGTACTAGTGCTTCATCTGGTGAGGTAGCCTAGTGGTTAAGGACCCGGGTTCGATTCCCCACTTGGGTACAATGTGTGAAGCCCATTTCTGGTGTCCCCCGCCGTGATGTTGCTGGAATATTGCTAAAAGCGGCGAAAAACCATACTCAATGACTCACTCATCTGGAAATGCATGTTTGAAAGATTCGTTATTCTGCTTCATATGGACATGCCCGTGCATCTATGTATACCTGTTCCTGTGCTTCATGTTTATTAATTGCGACGCTGTGCTGTATTATACATGTTGGTATGATTCTGTTGTTCATTTACATATTATGTATGTCAGTCTCCTCCATGTGCTTTATATGGAAATGCTTGTTTACATGCCTCGTCCCTGAGATTTTTACTCTACACATTTATCAATCCCGTCCCTGTGCTTCATTAGGGCATGGTACGCGCGAAGTTTCTTCTACTGGTCGTAAGAGAAGACGTAATGGTTTGGGTGGTCAGGTCAGGTGGTCAGTTTGGGTTAATAGCGTCTCACCTTTAGAGATCTTCAACAACCCATGCTTGTCGTAAGAGGCAACTAACGGAATAGGGTGGTCAGGCTCGCTGACTTGGTTGACACATGTCATCGTAGCCAAATTGAAAGATCGATGTTCATGCTGTTGATCACTGGATTGTTTGATCCAGACTCGATTTTTAACACACCGCCGCAATATAGTTGGAATATTGCTGAGTGCGGCGTTAAACAACAAACCAACCAATTCATTAGGGCGGGCGTTTTTGTGTTCATTCAGTTTGAGCGGGTGGTTCATTATCGACCATGTGCTTTACAATGGCCCTAACTCTCCTTTAGAAGTTACGCTTATTCAGATCAAAATATTACATTCCAGATTAATGTTTCCGACGTCAGTGGCACTTGTGTGTAGTGTAGAATAACATAGTCATGATGTTCTTCATAGCTTGTTTCACTTTACAGGTCAATGCCATACAAAAGGCTCTCATGGAGTACTTCCGGTTGGACAGTCCCCTGAAGATAATATGTGCAAGGCAGAGACACGTAATATTTACTGAGAGAATTATCTGCCAAAACAGATTCCATTGATCGTAAAAGTCAAACCTGAGACCATCGTCGGTCAGAGCACTGCACAATAGGTCTGATCTTGAGAATCACTTAAAAATAGGAAATATTTACAGACAGTGAATGTGGTTTTACGCCGCTTTTAGCAATATTCCAACAATATCACGGACGCCAGAAATGGGCTTCACACATTGTACCCATATGGGGAATCGAACCCGAGCTTCGGCGTGACCAGAGGACGCTTTAATCACTAGACTACCCCACCGCCCTTATTTACAAACAGTTATAATGAGCTGCAGTATTTCAGCTTTAATCTGGCAGAAGTAACCAGTGATGGGCTCCACTTAATTTACCAATTATGGCTCTCATACATGGACCTATTATGTGTGATCTGATCAGCGAACACTCCAACAATATCACGTCAGGGTACACGAGAAATAGGCTTCACACATTGTACCCATGTGAGGAATCGAACCGGGCCTTCGGCGTGACGAGCGAACGCTTTAGCCACTAGGCCACCCTAGGTTATCCATATAACGACACTAAATGTAGAGGGTAAGACGAAATTGGGATAACGCTGTTTCCAATTTTGGATAACAATTTTTATGTTCAAGCTGATTTTCTGTATGTCAAAACAAGAAAAAATAGCATTTGCAAATGGTACACTCTTAGTCACAGACTTTCTACTATGTAGGTTATCATTCAAAATTAGTAAAATCTGCATTGCATCTTCGCTGATATAGTCGTATTTAGTATAAGGTCTTCTATATTTACAAAAGGTATTCCAAACGTTATCGTGTTTCCAATGCATTTTCAAAATATATATCGTTTCTATATCCCTTGCAGGGTCGCACTATGTTGAAGGAGATTCACATGGCGTTGTCCAAAACGTTCAACGTGACAAGAATGCCTGGCCATTCCACAAGCTGCTGCACGCCCGCCGACGAAATCTACATCTTCCCAATCAGCGACATGCATTGTTTTCAGTAGAGGCTGTTTGTTTAAAAACAACTGCGTTAAAATAGATAGACAGACAGATATAGTTTATTAAAATGTCATGTGAACGATTACATGAAATACAATACACAATAGAAGCAATAAAATATTCATTCACCCAGCCAATAAGGCTTATGAGTCACTATGTACTATTTAAAAACTATGTACATTTCGTTTTAGAATAAGATATAAGAAATAGTTAAACGGATAATAAATTTTACAGGAATAACAGTCGTCTTCTAAGCATGTTATTCACAGTAGATGATAAAATTAGCAGGCCTGACGACATTAAAATACTTAATAAGCGCACATTGTTGTCATAATTTAAAACTTCATTATAAACTAATATCTAAGATCCTGATAAAAATAACAATCCAAAAGAGGTGAGGTGAGGTGAAATGGGGTTTAACGTCGTGCTTGAGAATATTTCGCTCATATGACGACGTGCATGCGTGTGTATGTGTATGTGCGGCTGCTTGTACTAGCCCAGACTTAAGCTGGTTTTATAGTGCTAGCCCACTGAGATACCATGCCGCAGTGAAGCATGAATACCCCACTCAGACACATTATACTGACTCGAAGTTCTTGTTGTACCCATTAATGCCGAGCGCCAGGCAGGGACCAACAAGTACCATATTTTAACGTCTTTTGGTATGACGTGGTCGGGGATCGAACCCGCGACCTTCCGCTCTCCGGGCGGACGCTCTAACCACTACACCACGGAGGCCAATCCAAAAGAAAATGTATCTTGTCTTCCTAACAATGACAGAGCGGACAAATTGTCTCACACAGGGGGTTGGGTTTTTTGTTGTAACGACCTGTTTCTATACGTAATTGAAGATTTCCGCAGCGTAGTTTAGTCAGGTTACTTCTCTTAGCTCTGTTGATGATTCGTAAGTATGGCTCAGGATGTCGATCTTTCTTGAATAATCTGTGGGTTCGAAGCTTATTTCCATTTACTTTGTTCTTGTCGTTCAACATTTCCGTACACCACATTTCCTCATCTAGCTTCATTAAAAATCTTTTCATTCATTACGAGATCCTGATACAAAATGTACGGAAAGACAAACTAAAGGTGTAAACGGAAAAAGACAATCTTAATGTGTCGGAGTGTTATAGCAAATTCTACATCAAACCTTTTGAGTGAGTGAGTAAATGAGTGAGTGAGTGAATGAGTTTAGTTTTACGGCGCTTTTAGCAATATTCCAGCTATATCACAGCATGGGACACTAGAAATGGGCTTCACACATTGTACCCATGTGGGAATCGAACCCGGGTCTTCTAGGTGACGAGCGAACGCTTTAACCACTCGGCTACCCCGCCGGCCCAAACCTTTAAGGTCCGTATCTATGTTTTCATTGTTATTGAAGCAATGCATTATTAAATGACGTTGCTTCCAGTACACATTTTTCATAATAATTCAAGGGAAATAACCCTTCCAGACCCTATGCCAGAATGGAAGTGTGCTCGTGTACAACGCAGGGCTCGCGGTAACATTTAGCCGCCTTTGTATCAGTTTATGGTGGTTGCCAGGGTGGGGCAGGGTACGCTCACCTTTCCACGAACACCTGGTATCATCACTATCTGATTGTAATTCATGAGCACATTGTCATGATAAAGTCGTTGTTGGACAATTGACTCTACTTTTAGAAGAGATTTTGTATAGACGTGGAAACAGGTTTGTCGCTTGTAATTTCATATAACATTTGGTTCCCGTGACAGTATGTTTTGTTCAGTTAACACTGTCAGCAACGTTTGTGTGAGTCTGTCATACCGACCCTGAAGCAAATAAAAATGAAGAAAGTCTCAGGGCTCCTTTTTATTATATTTTGGTTTGTTTTCACTATGAGCCTTTTTTGTGTAAAATATGTTCATTTCAGAGACTATTTGTTGGTCTACGTTTGTGTGACCTGTAAGTACTATAATTATGTCAATATGTGTCTGTCTCACAGTCTCTGAACCACACTATTTCCCCTTCTGTCTAGCCCTTCGTGCAACGCTAAAGCCCTAAATGAAGCAAGTCTAGATTTCCCCAGAATCTCCCAACTCACTGGGGCCCCTTTTCAATTTAAATGGGTTTATTTGTTACTATCAAGATTATATATATTCAGGGACTAAGCGTCAGTCACCATCTGGCCCCAATCTGTTCCTTGTTCTGTCAACGCCATAGCTGGGCCTGTGTGTTTCATTAGAGGGAAGCTGAAATGTCCTTATGTAAAAGTCTATGGTTTAAATATGATCTGTTATAGGCTGTTATTGATAATTCATAATAAGACTTTAATTCTGATATGCCAGTACCGGGATACGTCATTCTACTGATGATCTGTTCGTAAAATAGGGCACACAACTGTACTGTCACTAGTTTATCAGTGCTCGTTCACGAGTTAAGATGAAGATTTATAGAGAGGGAAATATTTTGAGTTTGACAATCAGACTAGTTTCGCTCTGTGGATGTCAGTGTCATCCCATCTGACTGAAGGTTAAGTTAATTTATGCCATATCATAGTTTCCCAGCATCGATCGTCATCAACATCTCAGAAAGCACTGACGAGGGAAGCGGCAACTTCACATGCCTGTCTATAATGATGAAATCTGTTTTTCAAGAGGTTTTGATTGGTACACGTGTAAAAAGCAGTAAGACACAACATATTGTCCCACATGGTGCAGTATTCATTTTGTTTGCCAACCATAGCCACATTTGTTGTTGTGGATATCAGTCATGATCTCTTCGTCAACATCTGTGACATCAGGGGCGGTGGGGTAGCCTAGTGGGTAAAGCGTTCGCTCGTCACGCCGAAGACCCGTGTTCGATTCCCCACATGGGTAAAATGTGTGAAGCCCATTTCGGTGTCCCCCGCCGTGATATTGCTGGAATATTGCTAAAGCGGCGTAAATTGAAACTCACTCACTCACTCTGTGACATCAATATCTTCTTCCTAGGAACAACTGAACCAACACACCAAAAACAAACCATATGACAAGATTAAAAATATGAATCATCATCAAGCTCTTTCTCCTTGATTATGCGTTATGGTTGTATCATTTGATTGGTGTTTACAGCCGCAGTTAGCAATATTCCAGCTATCACAGTGACCAACAGCATGAGTATCGATCTGCACAATTAGGATACGATGACATGTGTTAACCTAGTCAGCGAGTCTGACCAACCGATCCCGTTAGTCGCCTCTTACGACGCTGTATAAAGGTAGTCGACATAATAATCAATACACATTTCTCATAGCTGGGGGAGAAAGTTTAATGCATCATGAGGGTTTAATGTAGTCATAAGATAATAAAGGTTCGATACAACCGGCAAATGGTCTGACGTCCGGCGACTAACGGGATCATGTGGTCGGGCCGGTTGACTTGGTTGACACATGTCATCGGTTCCCAATTGAGCAGATCGATGCTCATGCTGTTGATCAGTGGATTGTCTGGTCAAGACTCGATTATTTACAGACCGCCGCCATATAGCTGGAATATTGCTGAGTGTGGCGTAAAACTAAACTCACTCACTCACTTTGTAAGCAAAACAAACGATCTTTTTCATTAATGGATAATACTTATATACTTAATACTTAAACATATTCAGAACCCCATTGCACAAAGTCACAATGCAATGTTATTGCTAAGACACTTAAAAGTCCATTCTGTAGTATGGTAGTGACCATCACCTTACTGTCACGGTCACTTGTGGAGCGGAGACCAGCTATATACTGAATATATGGTAAGAGATGGTTAATCAGTGATCCTTTGTATATGTTGCCTCACCGGCACCGTTGTGAGCAGGCTGTGGGCTAGCCTAGTGGTTAAAGCTTTAGGTTACAGTCAGGGCCTCGGAGCTTTTAATGAGTTTCAATTTCCATCTTGGACACATCAGGGGCAAAAATGATGTTTGAAACATTTTCCTGCTTCGATTTGTACGATATGCTTCCTTGTTTAATGTGATTACAATTTGACTTGTTTCATAAGGACACGGAATGAATAATCGAGGGATTTATTGTAGAGGTGTTCTCCGAAACCTTTTTTAAATTTGAAAAACAAAATCTTGGAAATTGATACCGAAAACATTTAATATTTGATGACAGCTATGTGCTTAATTAGATTTGATATTTAACATTTCTTTTGATAACATTTGCAGTAACGTATGGCTTCATTACATGGAGCAACCAGTCAACCACCGCATGAATGACCACATGGTGTCTCTGTATACAACGTGATTGCTGACATATCATTACTACCAGGGTGTCTGTATACAACGTACATGCCTACATACCATTACTACCAGGGTATTTGCATACAACGTACACGCTTAAATATCATTACTATCATGGTTTCTGTATACAACTTACATGTTCCCATATCATCACTACCAGGGTGTCTGTATACAGCGTTCATGCATCACATATCATTACTATCATGGTATATGTATACAACTTACATGTTCCCATATCATTACTACCAGGGTATCTGTATACAACGTACATGCTCACATACCATTACTTGATTACACGGGTATCTGTATACAACGTACATGCTTACACATTATTACTACCAGTGTGTCTGTATACAAAGTAATGCCTACATATCATTACTTGACCACACGGGTATCTGTATACAATGTACATGCTTACATATCATTACTTCCAGGGCATCTGTATACAACGTACATCCTTACATACCACTACTACCAGGGTATCTGTATTCAACCTACATGCCTACATATCATTACGAATAGGATGTCTGCATACAACGTAATGCCTACACATCATTACTTGACCACACGGGTGTCTGTATACACCGTACATGCTTACATATCTTTACTTCCAGGGTATCTGTATACAACGTACATGCTTACATATCTTTACTTCCAGGGTATCTGTATACAACGTACATGCTTTCATATCTTTACTACCAGGGTATCTGTATACACCGTGCATGCTTACATACCATTACTTCCAGGGTATCTGAATACACCGTCCATGCTTACATACCATTACTACCAGGGTATCTGTATACACCGTCCATGCTTACATATCTTTACCTCCAGGGTATCTGTATACACCGTGCATGCTTACATACCATTACTTCCAGGGTATCTGAATACACCGTCCATGCTTACATACCATTACTACCAGGGTATCTGTATACACCGTCCATGCTTGCATATCTTTACCTCCAGGGTATCTGTATACAACTTACATGCTTAAATACCATTACTACCAGGGTATCTGTATACATCGTCCATGCTTACATATCTTTACCTCCAGGGTATCTGTATACAACTTACATGCTTACATACCATTACTACCATTGTATCTGTATACAACGTACTTGCCTACATACCATCACCACCGGGTATCTGTATACAACGTACATGCTTTATCATTACTACCAGGGTATGTGTATACAACGTACATGCCTACAAACCATTACTCCCATTGTATCTGTATACAACGTACATGCCTACATACCATCACTACCGGGTATCTGTATACAACGTACATGCTTTATCATTACTACCAGGGTATGTGTATACAACGCACATGCTTATATATCATTACTGATAGGGTATCTGTACATACTTACACATTATTACTACCAGGGTGTCTGTATACAACGTACATGCCTACATACCATCACTACCAGGGTATCTGTATACAACGTACATGCTTTATCATTTCTGATAGGGTATCTGTATACAACGTACATGCTTACATATTATTTCTACCAGGGTGTCTGTATACAAGGTACCGATTTATCCGATACACAGATCACACATTGAGATACTATAGATTGGTATGCACAGATTGGTATAGAAATATTATAGATTGGTATGTACAGAGTGTTTATACAACGAAAAGGATATACCTGATAGGATATACATTGATTGGAAGCCACTTATGAAAACAGTGATAGGAAGACACACATCAAAGCAGGTATTGTAATTAGGAGCAACATGGGAAAACATGTACAGTGAATCGGAAGCTTAGTTTTCTATGCACGAAGTATCACCGATACTTTGTGCTCTTTCATACGAGTACGGGGTAGAATAGGTCTTCAGCAACCCATGTG